CTTTTTAAAAAGCTAAAGCGCCAGTCTACGCATCAACTGAATTCCAAAAATAATGGCCCAGTTTTGATTGTTAGTGCTCCCTAATGAAATTTGTCCGATGTCTTCTTCATAACTATGCAGGAGTATCAGGAGTATGTTTTGTGGTTAAATGCACTATTCAATGACTTTAGCACAGAATTGACTTAAACACGCCGCCAGACCAAACCACCCCACAAATGGACCATAAAGTGTCCTAAATTTTGTTTAAGTTACAAATTTCACAATAACTTTGTGGGCTCTAACTCTTTCCTTATCAAACATGGCCTGAAAGTATAAAATATCAAGCTAATCAAACTGGCATATATTTTGACTTCAAAATGTCAAAATTTGATGTCCAAATTGCTGACATATTTCATACGTAAATTTTAACCCTTAGAATCTTCCTAATTTTATATCAAGGGGAGTTAAAAGCTGAAAATTTTGTTTCAATATCGCAAACATGAGCTGAAATATGGCATTTTACATTTGGATAAATTCGTACCACAAAAACCCAAAGGATTTTTTTTTGTCGTATCACCATTGCTATTTCATATAAACATAACACATATTTATTGTCGAAAGCTAAAAGGAAAAAGAAAATTTTGAAAAAGGAAATTCCTAATTGCACCCCCCCCCCAAAAAAAAACAATTTTGTGACGTGATATTTTTTTTGGTTTTGCCTAAATCAGCTACTGTGAGTCAACCGCCGCCTGATTAGCCCAGTTGGGAGAGCTCCGGTCTGCTGAGCGGGAGCGTGTTGCGAATTCAAACCCCAGCTGGACCAACACTCAGGGTGTTTAAAATAAATGAGAAGAAAGAACTGCCTTTGTAATGACATCTGCAAACGGTTAGACTTTCCAGTCCTCTCGGATAAGGACGAAAAACCGTATGTTCCGTCTCACAGCACTTTCACTTATCTGGTTCTTGTGGGACGTAAAAGAAACCCACACCACTGTTCGAAAAGAAGAGGGGACGTATTCCACGGTAGTGTGGCCAACCTCTCCTGGGCTGGGTGGGTTATCTGCGGTAATAACACACTTATATTGGAGCCCCCTCTCTGTTGTGTGTTCCGCACCATATGGTGGAAGTGATTAAATAAAGGACGAAAATCTAAAATGATACGATTTTGAGCAACTATATAAGGTTTAAGTTACCGGAAAATCAGCTTATTTTGCAAAAAGATGTAAAAAATGCATCGAAGGGTTCCTTTTGTAAGGAAAAGAATGGTTCCGNTAATGACATCTGCAAACGGTTAGACTTTCCAGTCCTCTCGGATAAGGACGAAAAACCGTATGTTCCGTCTCACAGCACTTTCACTTATCTGGTTCTTGTGGGACGTAAAAGAAACCCACACCACTGTTCGAAAAGAAGAGGGGACGTATTCCACGGTAGTGTGGCCAACCTCTCCTGGGCTGGGTGGGTTATCTGCGGTAATAACACACTTATATTGGAGCCCCCTCTCTGTTGTGTGTTCCGCACCATATGGTGGAAGTGATTAAATAAAGGACGAAAATCTAAAATGATACGATTTTGAGCAACTATATAAGGTTTAAGTTACCGGAAAATCAGCTTATTTTGCAAAAAGATGTAAAAAATGCATCGAAGGGTTCCTTTTGTAAGGAAAAGAATGGTTCCGGGGCTATACTAAAATATCAACTAGAGTCCCATAACTCGCCCTCTACGTGTTGTAGCCAGAAACGGTTTTCAGCGTTTTACTTCCATTCTAATTCTCTTTAAGGTGATTTAAGTTTGACTTTGAAATTTAAAAAAATTAACTTAACCCACTTTGGCGACGTGAGCCCTTGTGACGTCATAATTTGACATTTTGCTTCAAACAAAAGCTCGAAGTCTATCTGTCAAGTTTGGTCAAGAAATGTTAAAGATTTGTAAATTTAGCCTTGTATGAGTAAGAGTCATCCTCTGTGATCATGCCCTTAATTCTCGGGACCCGTTTGTTTTATTAAGGATTCCGATATTACAAGAATAAATTCATTTCTGATAAACGGTTAAGAGATCGGATTTTTAAAAAAGGTTCTATGAACACGCGATATCATCGCGCCGAAGAGGAATAATGGTATGCTCGTTATTCCATTATTCCTTTTCCAAAATTATCGGGTGATGCTCGATATCCAAGTCAATATATGGACCATTGTATCGTTCTATTGTGTGAAGTTTGTTTTGTTATTGTGTTAGGGCTGGGGATCTTTGTTGTGTTCTTTGTGACGTAACTCGAGACTTGCCATTCACTTGGTATATCGTGCACCAGCCAAGTTTTTGTTAGTCGATTGTTCGAACCCGAAAAGGGTATAATAATAATAATAATAATAATAATAATAATGGAATTTATATAGCGCTTATACATCGCTGTTCTAAGCGCTTTACAATGTAAAAAAGGACATAAAATCGCTCCATTATTCCCACCCGAAAATTTTCGTTGTCTCTTTTCCATTATTCGTCTTCAGCCCTCGATAAAGAACTGCATTGGTTCTTCAAACAAAATATTCCTTTGTTTCAGCAACAAAAACAATATTTGTAAGCAATTATGTCTCTCTGGCTCCAGAGGTCCTTTCTCGAAATACCTAGGATGAAATATACCGTGCTTATTGAAGTTAGGAAAGAAAAAAAACCTCTGGCACCCAGGATTTCTCATTAGATCTACTGTACCAAAAGAACATCTTCTATACAATGGAGCGGTTAAGTATTAGATTTATCGTTTCCAAAGATTGGGATGAATAGACCATTTTCGATATATTAAAATTCATACTTGACTCCGAGGCTTGGGGGCGGGAATGAGACTAAAGAAATGTATTATTCATTGAGCCTCAAGATGATTTCTTTTGTTTTATTTCCCCAAGCCTCGCAGCCAAGTGTGAATTTTAATACATCGGAATTGGTCTATTACCGTGTACAGAGATGAGGGAGAAAAAGGTTCTAATTATAGCGATTTACGGTAGAAAGCTGGGAAACGCTTTATAGCAGCTGTTCTCGATGCATGAGCTGTTGATTGTTTTTCCCCGCAGGATATTCAGGATATTACTATAAGCTATTCAATATATATAAAAAAGCACATGAGACAGAAGTGCCAACAATCAACAAATTGCCACCAGTCATGATACATTGCTTGATAACTTTGAAAAAATGTTGTGCCTCCACACGCTGCAGGTTAAGTGGATTCTACATCAAACTCTTTGACAGTTTACGAGACTTGTGACGTGATTTATCCCCAGTAGGAAGACAATTAAAAAAAGTTTAAGGAAGTCAAATGCGGGTAAAAATGGGCAGGAAACACTGAACAAATCCCAAAATTTATGACCCGTTCTGTTTATATTTTTGCCTTATTAACATACTCGTCTCATTTTCATATCAAGCTTTTAAAATAACATCTCTGAATATTGAAAGGCATAGCAATATCAGTACACGCTAAACGTTTGAACCTCATACAGACTATAGTTTCGAAATTATTTGGTTATTTCTTTAACAAAGAATCTATGTGGCTGGCAACATGCGATTTTGCAGTTTTTGCGGCTTGCTCAGAGCTGAATCGAAAATTTCTGAACTTGCCCTGGCGAACCAGCTCTTTCGACACCTTCTGTTGGTTAACCCGCATACTAATGAGCAAAAATGTAAACATCTACGTCAGCAGAGATCCACCTATCGTTATTAATAACTTTTCTTGTTTGTTTTATTGGCTGCTGAGACGAAGCAATGGAATTTCATTGGCTAAAAACTTAACAACTCGAATCACACCACTGCCTTGCATAATAACTGTTTAGAACCAGAATGCGATCAGAAATGTTTTCTATTACCCTGAAAAATGGAGCAAGTAGTTAAAAATTCTCCTTAGGGAAGGATGCGAGCAGGTTTAAGGATATACGGTTGTGCCGTCAGTGGAAAAGCGTTTTCGCTAAAGGCGCTCCACTTTAGAGCAGGCTGCTAGTATTATATCAGGAGGAGTAAATCATCAAACTGGTGTTCTCTTCCTGAACGCACTTCACTCATTTCTGTGCAAATAAAAAGAAGGTAATCTTTAAGAGCATGTACATGTTAACCGTTTGGCGGTCAATCACTCTCAGTAAAATTTATCTAAGTCACCTTCATTTTAGAAAGGACCTGTCAACTATAACTCTCTTCGAATAAAATGCAGCCTTGTTCAGCAGCATTTAAAGCAATGTAAACTTGTAATGTGTATCATGTATATATTAAACTTTTCATTAAATGTAAGAAACTATTATAACCCGCGGCCTGTGAAGGATGGTGTTATCGAACTAACGAAAATATAGATTCTACTGTACTAGAACTTAATGCAGTTAATACTCGAGAATACGAGCTATTTACAATTGATATTGGAATATAATATCAATTATTGAACGTAGAACATAAATCATGCCACTACGCATAAAAAGAGACCTCCCGTCTGATACTACTTTTCCTTTCAAAACCAAGCTTACAGACAGCAAAAACAACAACAACAATAAACAACAACCATGAAAAACATTGACAGTCGAGACTTGACTGTTGAGCTGTGACTGAATAAAAAATCATTAGCTGCTCAGAGGGACACTTTAATAAAGGATATGAGGCCTGAGTACACCATACGGTCTTGTGATACTGGTCAATGAATGCTCAATCCTTAGCTGTCCAGTTAAATTAACATTGACCGCGTGTATCACCACATAAAAGAACGACAGCGTCGTACTGCGTCTCCTTATTAGATTTCGATTTCCCTGTTGTTGCGTGGGCGTAAGGTCGCGTGACAACCAAAAGTTTGCAGGTGGCTCTCCATTTGTTGTTTTAGTCGTAAAAATGCCAAAATATATTTACTCATCTCAATATGAACAGACTGAGATATGTATTTTTACGCGATAGTTATCTTCTTCTAAATACTGCTAAGATGACTGATTCAAAAGGGAACTATGCTAGGAAAGAAAATTCTGGAAGAGACTGTCCCACCCGACTGTGACAACATGCTGAATTCCGTCTTTTCATTCCTTTGGCTCGTCCGTGCCCAGTTTGGCTTTATGAATTGATCGCCTTCTTGGATTGCACTTCACACCACACCTATAGAACAAGATGCAGAAAGTTGTGTTTTAACGAGGAGATTTGGATGGCCTACTTTACAGGCCAGTTTGTAGTCAATACAATTAAACTAATGAATTCACAACATAGTTTCCTCAACTCCAGGATCTCATAATCAGAGTATTTTACGTGACAGTTCATGGTCAACTGAGAATGTTGACATTGGTCTTTTTTTAAACTTTTTATCGAAACGTTGTTCTCAAAATTGTATCGTATCACTTTCTTCTTGTAAAACTTATTTTCATTACCTTTACTTTTGCTTTCTACAATGCTATCATGCAGATAAAGCTTGTTGCTCACTTTATATCATGAAGGATGATTCCTCCTGGGAAGAAATCTTTATCTCGGAGAAGTCAAAATAAGTCAAATGAGAAGGTCAAGACATTCAAAATAGATGTGTCACAGCCGACATCCAAAAGTAGACTTGTCCCGATTCATAGTTCGGTGCTGTTGGGTCAGGAGACCAATTATACTCGCCTTCGGATTAGTAAGGAAAATACTAAAAAAGCCTTCTTCCTTCTCCGTTGCCTTAATGTTAAGGGAGGCGTGCCATCATTTTTTTGGGAAAGGGGGGAAGAGACGAGGTCTGGGACCGAGAAACCATGTTCTCACAACTTGCAAAGCGGTCACCCTGCGTGGTGGTCAGCGGGTAATAGGTGTTCAAGCGAACCGGCAGAAGAAATGATTAAGACATTGAAAAAATAATGTCATGCATCTTCGTTTTTCTTGCATATCGTGTTTGTCTTTTGGTACTGAAATCGCCGGGGGGAAACTAAACCGCAATCGTGTTGACAATCGTGTTAGATCTTAACCACCAACAACACGCTCGATCGATTTATAGGTTACATCGTTTTTGCCGGGCGAGGACATCAAAGGACTATGGAAATTATGATGCTGATAAAAAATATTGGAAAAAGTGTCAAATTTATCGGAAGCAAGTATATTCAAGAGAGCCTTTTAAATATGAGCTTACAGCTGTACATATCGTACCTGAATAAACATATAGTCACACTTCATAACGTTTCACTTCGTTTATTACGATCAGTCAACACCTTGAATTCAAAGTTAAAATTCAAAACAATCCTAATAAACAAATCACAACTACTACTGAAAGGTCTGTACCTTGAAGTGACCTGAACTTTCCTAAGGTTTGCAGCAAAACACTGCTCGATAGCTCAACTCTTCGGCGGTTCTTGTCAGCTTTACGCAGCTATATGTTGCATATTCCAAACTCTGCAGAGGGAAATTATCTAAGAGAAAAAGCAAACCATACGCTATGTCTGAAAAGCGACATAAAGCCAAAAAATTTGTAATAGTGAGAACCAGTCCCGTCTTGTCCGCCATGATCTTGTTTCAATCTATGGTTTTTGACGTAATGCGCATGATCAGTACACAAATCCGCTGGCGAGAAACTTGCTGATCGCTTTGCAAGTTGTGAGAACCTCGTTTGGATTTCATTTAAGAGAATGTATGGGAAGTAGCTTCCCCCCCTGACTGGAACAAACTGTAATTAGTAGTAAAAGTAGTAGTGTAGTTCCTACAACAAAAACAAGTTTGAAGAAAGTACAAAGTGTAATTGTCCTTCATGGGCCTGGCATAAAAGAGCATTGTGATGTAGAGTTGTGAATAAATACTGTATAATTAAGGACCAAACTCAAGTTTCTTTATTTTTCTAGGAGTCAACAACTATACCTCCATAGAAATTAGAACCTAATTAAAACCCTAGTTATAAAGATTGTTAGTATTATTATTATTATCATTATTATTAAAACGCAACTTAGCCTAAATTGCCAATAAGTACCCCAAAATACAAGAGACCTACTTTGCCAGACTTCAAAAAAAGTAGCTATAGCTTCAGTGTAGCTTCCTATTCACTTTAAGTTTCGGTAACCACATAACATTTTAAGCTGCGAAAAGTAGACCTACTTTTTCAAGGTTAATCTCCTTTGTTGTCGAGTGAAAAATGGTCAAAAATCGATGTTGCGTTGTCCTCCCTTCGGTTGAACTACAAATATTTTTCCACTAGTCAAGTTTCAAGTAGGGAAAAGATGATTAAGAATACTTAGTTATAATTTCAGCTCAGCTTCGACCAAAACTGTTGAACTCGCCATGACATAGCCAATAAATGATAAATGTAAAAACTGAGGGCAGAGAGAGGATGGACGTACTGACAGGTATCCGTACTTCATGCATGCATTATTGCTATTTTTACTTACGCAGTTAAGTTTAATCTCATTTGAAACTGTGAATTTCTGACCTTTCACAGTACAATTGCTTCTGTGACAACCCAAATATACCATAGTGACTCTTCAACCTTTATATTGATTCCCCACAGTCATTTTAGTCTTAGTTCTTTTAAAATAAATGTTCAGTAGAACCGTTTAATGCCATTATACCCTTATTCAGTGGTATAACCTCTAGCATCAATGTGGCCTTAAATTAACCTTAAAAAAAAACTATAAAATGCGCATGAATTCTTGATCCTGTGACGCTTAAGCTTTGTCGCTAACTAATCTCGTTCTGAGGCAGACGGGTCAGTTGAGTAACTTCAAACGCTGTCTCAAGTTCACGCGAAGTTGATCATCGGTATACTTAATACATTCTCTTTTCTGGTTTTGTAACGAATAAAACACTTCATCTTACTCACATTGTTCTAGCTGATGAACACCATCCAGAGCGAACAGCAAAAATGCATAAACATGTAAGACGTTCTTCCCACGAGAAAACACCACTGCTCCACTAATCCCTCGGCAAATTTTCAACGTAGCACAAAAGTATCGGTCAAAACGGCCCTTCAAGCATAATAATTACCATCAAAATCTATTTTAATTTGAAGTTAACACTCTGGGTAGTTGGTGGTATTGAAATTGTAGTAAAGGTGGGCGCAGTTCAAACGGACTACATAGTAGTGAAACAGAGAGATCATAAATGATACAGAACGCTGATCTATTATGAGATTTGTGCAGGGCGTCAAAAATTATTTTCTGGCGATACAGCGACACAGATGGTATCAGGGAACCAAAACGCCAAACAGTCGATTTCTTGGATTTCCTACACTCAGGATTTCAGTCACTGACCTACAATCGCCTTTTTAGTGAAGAAAAACAAACCGGTAACACTACTGATGAAATTACTGCTCAAGTAGCTTTCATTTCAATGGCCCTCAGAGAGCATCCTTGCTTAAAACTTTACCACAGAAAAGAACTGTTGCCCAGTAGCGGCTTCAGTTAATATAAATGGCTATGCTCATTTGGAAAATATAAAAACGTATGTGTATATTTTTATATAAAAGATAAAATAAGTCGAATAAACTTGAACCTGACCCTATGGCATAACTGATAACAATACAAGGGAAACGTTTGGCTTGCCACTGAGTGGCTTTCACTCAATGTGAATTTTCATTAAGGCACTATCATGATCAATTTACGGAACCACTCCAGTGCATACTGCTCATTTTTTCTGATCCTCTCTGTTCAGTTTGAATAGATGCATTAAAGACTCTCTGCCGAGGAACTTAAGAATTACAGAGAGGGATTGTTTTATTAGCAGATTACGAGAAAAATGCCCAAAGCGATTTTAAAAGAAACACTTAGTGTTAAAATTTCAAATGATCACAATGAACTGAAGGCAGTTTAAAGAAATGGACAAATACGCTTAAATACACTCTGTGTTCAACACTTCGTATCAGATAAACCGTGTTAACCAGTTCCTTACCCCATGAAACTTAGAATAACAAGGAACTGAGGCTTGCATGTATGCTTGAGAAGTAAAGAAGTCAAGACATGTTAATATTCTCCAAAGAAGCGTTTGACACATTAATGATAAAATTGATTTGAACTTCAACCTAGAGTAAAAACGTAACAATCAAACATTCGAAGACATCAAAGGCAAGTGATATTTGTTGGAAGCTCATGGAAAACTTTCTTTTGCCGTGATCCGACATTCAAAGAAATAGTTTCAATCGAGGTACTTCAGCAGTATGAATGCCCGTATCATGGCAATGTAAGGAGTGCTATTAGTTTATCGGCCGGTTTTCGTTGCATTTTCCATTAAACAACTCAATCATTAAAGAGTTTTGATCTTTGAGCCTTAGAACTGTGAAGTGTCTACATGTTGATGGCTGACTTGTTTCTACGGCTGTAATTATAATAATCAGTTTTGTCGTCTTGCACTATCATTTTAATTTGTATTCATCGAAGAATAAAGCCACGATCACAAACTGCTTATTGTTTTTTTCTGCAGTTAAATTTATTAAGATCTTATCAGGATAAAAAGTCATGAAACTAGGCTCTGAGGTAATGAAATGACAACGAATATTCAGTGTTTTAGTCAAAAGCGGCAAAAACATGCGTGATGATGTGTCGAAAGCTAGGTTAAGAAGGATGAAAACCGACTTGAAAATGCACTAGTTTAAGAGCCAGATTCCACTCACCCGGCCAGTGGTAAATATAAAGTAAATTGTGATAAACTTAAGCATCTGAATCTAACAGAGCAAGTTTTAATGTACATAAAAGATCCGTTTGCAAGACGAAAACCTACAGCTGCGCGACATTTAAGAGAGCTTGACAATTATGATAATTGAGTACACTACCTGCTCTTTGGTCGTCCTCTTTACGTGCAAAATCTCTATCTGAAGAACAGACTAAAGAAACTGAAAAAGTTGTAGCGAAATATTATTTCCTCCTAGATGAAGATTCAATATATTAGCGAGTAGATTTTACTCCTTCCAAGTTGCTGCACTTTACTGCAGACGGGTGCAACTGAATCCATTTACTTTGACCGATTTAACAGCAGACTCCGATAGAAGTCAGAGATAGAATGTTTTTAAAGCTGCATATGTCAGTTCTCTAGCTTTGACAAACCGATCTCGTATCTCCCATGAGTAGATCCCAGGTTGTTCCTTCAAGTACTGTTCCAATCTCTCTGCCAAGTGGGGGTGATAACTCGGGGTCTACCTACACCTTCTCGGCCGCCATATTGGATTGAGTCATCTTTTCCGGCTATACTTGGACAACAGCTTGCTGGTACAACCATGAAAGATTCCGAAACGACGGCATATGTCGCATGGTCGAACTCGTTGTAGTGAAACTTAAACGATTTCGCACCGAATTTCCTTTGGAAGTGGGTTTCCATAACTACGTCCAAGTTTATTTTCATGTATATATAAATTACTCGTCCTACGAAAAGGTTATCACTCTTCTGTATTCTTCGGCCAAGGTTCCCAATGTTAAATGTAACACGATGTCCTATAGGAACACTGCTGCTTACTGCTTTTGATGTCAAAAGTGTCGTTAATAATAAAAGTTTTTTGCAAAAGGTACGGCATTTATCGCACTTAAGCAGAGATTTGATGTTTCAAGAATTCAATCAATAAAATTAATAATGAATTATTTTTCCAACCTGTAGCTAGTCACAGTGAATCTCCCATCCTTTCGTGGTTGATGTTCGAACTTAGTAGATACCTTTTCAGCTATCTAGCTGACTTAACCATGAACAAATATCCCGCTTTTCGTGACTCTAGTCAGGTTTCCGTAATTTGTTCCGGCCTCGTTCAACAGTGTCGTCTCCCAGCGGCAGAGGCGGCGGCATCCCACGCTGCCTCTTGAAAAGTCACGCTCCCGTGGTGTGATTTAGTACTCGAACACATGAAAAACGTGTCTTTGTGGTTTAAGAACCGATAAACGTAATAAATCAGAAATCTGACAGCGCTATAAAGCGAAAGCACGTAGTAAAGCCTACAAGGCTTGCACGATGCCAATTTTAATAGTCATCTTCCACTTGCATCATTTTACTCAGTTTGTTTTTCCTCAGAGCTCAAGACACCGCTACTACACTTCGTTTAAGTGGTTTGCGGGTCAGGGTTAGCGATTTTTTTAGTCTTTAAAAAAGAAACCACCATTTTTTGTCCAAGTGAGGCCAGTTAGCAGCGAGTTAGCGAAATTCTCCTCTTTCTGAAGATTTCAAGCTCTTCCACTGATGTGACCACCTCTGCTAAAAGGTTTGCCAAACCTCTATAAATCGAGACTGACCCGCTTTACTCATCTTGTTAAAAACGTGTGTTTTTAGCTACAAATAAGTGAGAACTGAACACTCTTACACCCTTGAAGGTATTTATGTGTATTATTGCGATGAAACTCATACATACGTCCTTATGCAGCTTGAGAAATTGCTTGTAAATAGCAAAATTACAGCTTCGTGTCAGACAAAATATCGATCGGTCTCCCAAGTAGTATATTAAACGTTACAAACAACAAAAACGAACTTTGAAAAACTGTTAAGTTAAAAAAAGTTTCAAAAGCACAATTGCAATCCGTTTCAATCTTCTTCAAATTTGTAAATCCGCTCCTCCTTACGCATTTGCCGTGTTATGAGCAGTTATTTTTTTGTTTCACTCAGTTTGGTGGTAGGCTCTCTTTGCTTGAATTTTGATATATTTCGTAATACAGTTCCTTTAACTGACTCATTTACTTCGAATAGCAGTGATCTTTTATTTATTTATTTATTTACCAGCTTTTCTGGACACAGGCCTGCCCAGTGGGAATGTTCACGAACGGGGCTCATAGGTCTCAAGCAAGGTGCCATCCCTGCCCAATCCCACAACCCAGAAAGGTTGGCAACACCTGACCGGGGTCTACGACCCCCACTCTTTTCTAATAGTGATGTAGGTTCTTTTACGTCCCACAAGAACAAATCAGTGAAAGTGCTGTGAGGCGGAACCTACGGTTTTTCGTCCTTATCCGAGAAGACTAGAAAGTCTAACCATTTGCAGATGTCATTACAAAGGCAGCACTTTCTTCTCAGTTTTTTAAAGTGCCTTAGTGTTGGCTCGGCCGGGGTTTGAACCCGCGACCTCCCGCTAAGCAGACCGGCGCTCTCCCAACTGAGCTAACCGGGCGGTGTTCTAGATGCTGGACGAAGATCACATGTGGAGTAAAGAGACTGCAGTAGATCACAGATGTTGGACGGAGCCATTCCATTCAGTGCTTTCTAAGCTGTGGTAAGAATAGCTTATTCAATCCGCTTTTGGTGACTGGAGGCCAATGCACGTGAAGCAATACCAATACTGAAACATACGGTGTTTAAAACTTAGTATAATTACCAAGAAAATTATAAAACACAAAAAAGTTAGAGCCTTTGCTTGTTCCGCTTAAAACTGATGAAGGTAAATGTGTAGAATTGTGGAAGAGCTAAAATAAACCAACCATATCATTTGTTATTGCTTCTGGGCGTTTTGCAAACTGACATTTACATGCTATAGCGAACTACTCTACAAAGGCATGTTGACAATTCGCTAAAATACCATGCACGTGAGGCACGTTAGACAAATGTTCACCTTAGGCTAGTGTCCGGTTTTTCCAGTCAAGAAGTTTGTTTCTTTTATCCTAAAAGTTCCTTTGTCATACTAATCCCTCAATAATAACTGATCTTTATTAAATTCCAAAGAAACATGAAGCTTCATTTAAAACGTTCAGTTCTGATGGCCAGAAGGGTGAAGGGTTGGCCTCTGTTCCGCATCAATCTGGATCTAGCAGGGGCAAAAAGTCTACTAAATGAGCCATCGGTAGTGCTAGTAACACTTTTGTACAATCCTCTTCCAGATCAAGCTTCTAACATTTTTGTAACTGGCGAAAGATCCTTTGGGAAACTCAAGGATTAGATGTTTGCTGCAGATCGCGTATGCCCACACTGAGATTGCAGTGAAAGTACAGTGCAGCAGGGGAATCCAATGAACACTCATGTTCTTACGGTATCAAGATTCACATACTCGTCAGTACTGACCCACGTTATTAAGTACTCAAACTGCTGGTCCCAGTTATCCGGGTCTATTAAAATACACCCTAGAATATTTTAATTTGTTATATTCCTTGACTTTCACTCAACTAAACAGGGACTGCCATTGGTTGATTCTTGGTCACGTGCCCTTGACTAAAATCAAATGTATCCCGATCGTGATCCATTAAGCAATGTACCCCGCTTGGGCTACATTACAGCACGTGATCGAAGCATGGTGGAAAGTGGTGCGACAGAAGGTGGGAAAAACACTACCAGTTCTCTTTTTCGTGAATGAGCAACACAATTACGAAGCCTCAAGCTAAAAAGCAACGATTTTTAAAGTCATGCCAGAAGAAGAAAAAGCAGCTAAAGGAGGAAAAAGATGCAGATAATATAAGGAAAGTACTTTGTAAATCAATCATTCAGTGGTTTTAGGAATTAAAATTGGTGTTGTTATAAGAACCGAGTCGACTGTTTTGGTTCGCTCCGGTTATTCTTTTGTTGCTGTTGAAGTGAAAGTCTAGAAATATAACAGAACCCTTAATGTCACGTCCCTCGGGAAATCAGTTAGTTTTTTTTCCACGAGTCCCTCGGGAAAACAAAACTAACTGTTTCCCTCGGGATGTGACATTAAGTGTATAATGTTTCCTGGTGAATGTCAAATACAACAGAAAGTGAAGGCCTTTCGGTTTTCCCCGTAGCAATCATTTCTCTAGTCTCATATGAGATTGTCATCCTTCTGTTATCTGTAAAAGTAAGGATATACTCTACTTCAACAGGGGTACAGTCATCACTTCCCTTAACCATAATGCTTAAGGCTAGATCGTTGGCATAGACTTCATGCTGTTGACCGGACAGATGTCGTACAACTCAATTCAAATAAACTGGTCCCAAAATAGTACCCTGAGGAACACCCCTAATTATGGACCAGGAGAAGACATAGTACCATTAGATACAAGTCTCTGGAGTCTTCGAGGAAAAAAAATATCCAGTAAATAATATAAGGATTAATGGATACCTCTTTTAATTTGTTAAATATAATAGCTAGACTAACTGAATCAAAAACCTTTGAGAAGGCAATTGCAAACAGTCTAACACAGTCTGCCTCTTTCATTTTAGGCCATTTCAACCACGTGTTGACTTTTGATAACATTGCTTGGTCTCCCCCTATGAGCCACCTGCACCAATTACCCTTGCGCACTTTCATTGGGTTCAACCACAGGTAGCCCAAGCTCGAAATATGAGCATCGGCATTTTTCCGTAACATTCGAAATGTAACGATTTGTATGGAAAAAAAAAACTATATATAATCGATCTGGGCTTTTCGATGAGCTAATGAATGGCTTGATTTCCATTTGATAAACATTACTGACATTACTATCTTCTCAAAAAGGTAAATTATACGATTCGTGACAGAAATATGGCTTTACTGGTTCAAAGAGGGTATTCCTTAGAACTAGGATCGATATTGATTAATTTCCAAATTTGTACCACAATTTGGAATTTAACAGAAAGAGTAAGAAAAACTTCATGACCGGGACCAATTTAGCAGCAAACTCTCTCCGAAACTAAAATGTGTTTAAACTATCTGGTCCTGCTTTCGTCCTTTTGGGGTGGAAAGGAACTTAAAAGTGAACGCCCTTGTAAAATCAGCAATATCAAAAAGTTTTTGAACAGTTTAATTGAGAATATTTGTTTACTTCCTCACAAAACAACAAAAAAACTGATAGGTTCCTCCAGTTGTTTAGACTTTCTTTCACTAGTAGTATTGACTGTTGTCCACCATTGTTTAGTTGACGTAACATGCTTGTTCAGTATTCTCAATCGGTGTAATATCAATCTGGTTCTGCCTAAGTCACAATCTTGATACATTGTCTTTTTATTCAATTAAAGTTAAACCCGAAGGGACATGATGACTGAATCGTTTGATGATTGCCTGACTCTGAGAACTGAGAAGAACTCGCTAAAAAAAAGGTGACTTAATTAAATGCTTGAACAACTCCACTGCAAATTCCAAATTGGCATCCGCCAAAAAAATGGACCAGTTGAATGGACCAGTTGAAATAAGCGTAGATTGCCATTTTATAGTGACCATGGGTGTCTCTGAATTCAGTACTCTTAATATATACAAATTTGTGGTCTGATTTAACAAGTCCATGCACGCGGTGGATACTGCCAAACTATAATGGCTCATTGGTAGCAAAAATTTGCAAGATTCCTGATACCCCGGTTAGCGATTTAGCAAGCTGGCTTTGAACAAAAGTATAGCATCCGGTTATCTCACTGGAAAGAAGTGTTTCACAAGCCTTTCCAGAAATTCAATAAGATCATCAGGATCGTAAGTAGGGCTTGGGGGATGATACAGAGCTGCTGGGTAGAACTGCGGATCGATTTTCGGCAAAATTACAACCCAAAAGTACTCAAAGTCATTATTAGAGAAATTAGTATCTGTTACCTTCAAGCGATCCCTATACCCCCACCAATTCTATCTCAATGCCTGCAGCTTTCAGAGGGCATTACTCTGCACCCAACCTAATGTTATTCTGCTTTGGCATTGAAACCAGTGAACTGTGTAACTCTTTGTTGACAGTACCAAGACCTCAGTTAATTTGGTCTTTACCTTCTTTAGTTGTAGACTTGGTTGGTGCAGCTTGCTACCCCACTTCTTCCAGCCATCTGAAAACAAAGAGCAAGCTCAAATAAAGATCGAGGGAAGATTGCTAATTTTTTTGTTTAATCAACTGATTATTAACTATAACTTATTGCTAACCTCAGGGTGAGTCAGAAATGTCTGTACCAATGAACCACCTAACTGTGAGCAGTAAAAGGCACATTAAGTTAAGTAATGTTTGTGGCATTTTTTGTGTCATTGGAAGCATTGGATCCATTACAAATGTAATGCAGGTTCCGAGTATCAGTGAATTCCCAGCAATTGCATTCAAGTGCTGACGACTGAAACTACAAGAATTGTCTCGTTGTTTTTTTCCCATTTTCTCCTCTTGGGGATTTGGAATTGATAAATCTTATGAACTGCAGAATAGGCCATCACAATTTGATACCTTGCCCTATTTGAAAATCTTGCCCAGATTTTTTTGAGCCCAAGAATTCTTGCATTAATTATGATAAATAAATACTCCCAGTTCAGTTAGATCCATTCATCCCCATTGGAGCAATCTGCTGAAAGGGTGATAAACCTTTCATTCTTTGTCTCAAGAAAGCTTAAAAAGTTTAGATGCTGATATTGATGAACTTCCAAGTCTAAAGCCGGTGGTGTTGCATATTATGCCATTGTTTCAAAGATAATTATGAACTCTACAGGTCTGAGGATGATTTTGAGTCCAATTTGGATAAGATAAGAAAGTCCATGGCAAAAAGTACCCTCTGTTGCTCTGCCTATAGGCATCCATCCTACAGCCTAGCAAGCTTCATGGAGTACATGGAGCTTATCTTTCACCAACTGTCCAATGAAAAGAACAGTCTTTTTGTTACAGTGGATTTTAACACCAATTTTCCAACTTGTAATTGTCCTTAATAAAATGAATTTTTGAATTTAATGAATGGAATTTTCTCCTTCACCATATTCTTCTAAGTCATTGTGATCATATCTGTGATAAATCTACCTTAACAAAACAGAATTTAGATATAGCAGCCAATTATTCAAATTCTCTAGTTGCTCTTGTCGGATTTGAGATCATTAACATAGCTAAATCAGCTCTTTAATTAATACACTTTTAATTCGTTTGCTATTTATCATCATATACCCAACAAGGGCGAGTTAGTTAGCTGTTAAATACCTACTTGTGTATAAACATAAGTGGGAATCCAATTTCAAAAGTTGCTGACTGTGTCCCTTACTATCTTATTTAACAGGATCTGAAGAACAACTTATTAAAACCATTCTTTTGCATCAAGGCAGCATGGAGACCATCATCATGACTGGGTTTCCAGAAAACTATTCAACCTCTCATGTCCTTATTTAACCTGATTCCTGAATCTACACTTGATTCCATCAACCAAAGGAAAATTGTTTGTAATTGACTTGGGAATTGTTTCCTTGACTTAAGAAAGGCATTTGACACTGTGGAATAATTCAATGCTGCTATATAAGCTAGACCATAATGGCAAGGAAGTATTGTTAATGATTGGCCTCAATCTTATCTTTTCAATAGAAAACAGTTTGTGTGTGTAAATGGTTATAACACTTATAATAATCCTAGAACTTTTGATGTTCCTCAAGGAACTGTTTTGGTGCCATTGTTGTTTCCCTTATACACATTAATCTACCCAAAATGGAAAAGCGAATTTCACATTTTTGCTGATGACTCCAACATCTACTTCTGCTTTAAGGACCTGAATGTTCTTGAAAGATTATTAAATAGTGAGCTAAAATTAGTTGCTGACTGGTTGAGATCCAACCTTTACCACTAAAATATGATAGAAGACAACTAAAACAATCTAAGATACGACTGCTTACCAAGGGTAGAATGAGTCATAAGACAATTACCAGTTTGCAATTATGTAAAATAATCAATGCCTTCTATGTCGCGTAAAGATAGATTTCGTGACACTCTCCACGAGCAATCCTCTCCTCTTGTACATTAGCTATACGTTTATTAACTGTGGAAGTGAAATTTCCTATGGATAGCGGTATCGTGAAGGCAAGTAGACGCTTAACTTGTCTACTTCATTTTCATAATGTATTTGCATAACTGTGCATCTGATCATGACAACCGTTGTTTTCTGGGTTGCTTTTGTTTCAGCTTTTTCAATAAATTCGTTTAAAAAAAGAAATACGTTATTTAGCAATACCACAGAAGCAAAACTTTTCGGGGACAGTTTTTAAGGCTATTCAAAACACTCACAGCCCGTGAACTATCAAGTGTAAAAATTCTCGCACTTCGCCTCGAATTTTTAACCTTGATAAAAACAGTTATGTTGGTGTTGTAAATACTGCTTGAAATAAAGTTGAAAAAAGCCCATGTTATCTCATTCAAATACTCCACGTTAAAAAAATCCACCCCAACTTGTTAAAACACGTCAACTGGAATCAAGTTGACAAATCTTTGCGATTAATTTGTCACCACATGGCTTTCTTTCTTTTCCACCAAAAGGAAGTATCACAATACCTTGAAGCCCACTTCATTGAATGAAGATGAATGGCAGGCGAATTCTATGGAATGAACTTGGGGGTTGATTTCCGGCTTTCGTTGTTTCGATTTCCGCTTTCACGACCGCAAGACACGCATGAAGTGGGAGCGTTTGGAAGGATGAAAATGTTGTTTTGATCACGTAAAGCTGCAGGTGAATATGGGGTCATAAACAGATTGATCCGAAAGACGCGTTCGGGTGACAAACAGAGCATTGGTAAACGTGTTTTAGTGGCCTTCATAAAAATACCTCTGGAAGGTTTTTTTTGGGTTTTCGTCGCTTCCTAGCCCTGAGTCCTTTCGCTTCACTGAAAAGTTGTTATATGTAATCAGCGCCATATGCATGGCCCAATATCAAAACATCAAGACAATATTTTTAACGAGCATTATTTGTATTCATGGCACGGTTTTTGGACCGATTTTGATGCAAACAGACTGTTGCGCACAAGACTAAATCAGCAAAAATCGCGTAACAGAACACACCAAATGGTTTTCGTTTTTTGAACTCTTGACATGGAGTTTCGTCTCATATAAGCCTATATCATATTAAGGAATGCGCACAAAGATGGAGCGGAGGTTTTGTTACTCGCAGAAAAATCTGAGTAGTCTAAAATGGGTCTTATGTTAAGCTGCCCATGTAAAAAGGCCATTACATAGATTTGAAATGGAAGGTGGTTTTTGGACTTCTGGTAACAGGCTCCTTTTTCACGTTCTGGTTCCTTCATCACTCGACCCTCTTGACCCCCGCTCCACCCCTCAATGGGAATACAATTTTCAAGATAACAGCTATCAAAGGAAAGTGATATTCTGAAATACTGTTTACATGAGACAAAGAGAGACGTTCGCGTGAAATCGAGCGCTGAAGACCTCAAGTACTAATCATAGTAAGTACGGCAACATATCGACACCGGCGCAATCTTAGCAGTGGAGGGAAACATTTTTTTCTTACATCAGCACTGTTTCATTTCCCAACATTTGCTGGTTTCTAACGTGCACGTGTGTGTGTTAACAAAAGCTGACAACTCGTGATGAGTGTTATAAAAATATGGCGGCTGAGTTATGTTAAGGCTTGATTTTAAAGTTGAAGTTCAACTGAAGACGAGATTGAGGATGTTTTGGTAAATTAGGCGGAAGTTTGTTGGCCCTTTTGAAAAATTAATGCGCGGTACAAGCAGTGGAAGCATAAAGTATTCATGGCAAAATAGTATAAACAATTGGAACACTTGCTCTACTGTAGTTTCTTTAAGCTAGCTGTGGATATTTTTGATAAAATATATTGCCGCCTGCCTCTACCAACGTCAAGAGTTAAGTTGGGGGAGTCGATCAGTTGCATCAAATTCAGATAAGAAAATTAAACCGATCGTTCGCGTGACTTCTCGTTATTAAGCAGACCTCGATCTAATTGCTTGATATCAAAAATATCATTTAATGACGTAGACGGAGACACGTGGTTATTTCTAAACCATCTCCAAACAATGTGACATTTCGTGACGATTGCCTTTAACGAGTGCAGGCGGTGGAAAACTACGGCAATCGCGAAGATCTGTCGTAGTATGACGACAGTGCCGAAAGTTTTCCGAATGGAAGCCGGAACGTTTCGGGCTGTATTTTTCTATTTAACCGTTCGTCCGCCGGCTAGACAGCAAACAGGAAAATGTATCAATTTGATACAAGTAGACACGGTTTCTAGACATCAAGGGTGAACTGTGCTTAATTAATGGAAGGTTCTTCTTGTACAGGTGCAGGTGAGACAATCGTTCAGTTATCTGAGGTAGAATGACTTTGGCCCTGCTTCAATGCCATGCTCCCATAATGTCTCATGAGAGGCCTGCGGCAATGTAGCTCATACTACATTAAATTTAAGAGAATGATTAAAAGGACATCAACTACAAAGAACTTTGACACTAAAAACAAAAACGAGTTCATACATTTATAAACAATGTTGAAAGGGCTGCACTAAGAAATGCAATGCGAGAATTATTTGCTGTGTGCTGCCCGACCGCTAATAGAAGTTTCTATGAATATAAGCTTGGTTTGCGCCCCGGACGCTAGTCACGATTTAAATGTTTTTAATACACAGTGTTCTGAACCGTGAATTGTGTAGCATGGACCTCGCATATGCAATGCAAGTTTTTTTTGCTGTTTGTAATACTCGTATATTCTCCAATACCTTATTTCAAAGAATAGCCATGAGGTTAAATTGCATACATTACGATTTTTCGATCTGCCACACACCACTTAACGCATCTTTCTTTCCGGTGCCTTTGTGTGCCGCATACTCGAGCATCCAATGATAAACTCATAACATTTAAGGAAAAAATCAGTTAGAGATTCAAGTAAATATTATGATTGAAAGGACCTGCTACTGAGGGCAAGATACAGCCTGTCTCACTATGATCTTGAAGTACAGGGTTAATCATGACTTGTCAGAAGGACTTGTAAGACTGAGGCATGGACTTCTACATATTTACGACATAAGATGCTCAATTAACGACGATTTATCAGTCAAACATGACATTTATTGACGTTG